TTGGTGTTCGACCGGAGTACCTATACAGCACGAATACAGACACCCGCCGGCCGAAACCTGGAGTTCGTAATATGCGAAATGTTCAAATACACCTGAAATCAGCGCGAAATCAATGAATAATTAATTGCAATACGAAACACGCAAACTCACCTTTCTCTTGATAAATTCAACTTCGCAGACTTCGTAGATGGTATAACACCGATCTTGCGATACCACCGACTAATTTTCAAATAAGACACGCACATTGGAATAATTGTATTACTTGGATCTCATTCGATTCGATTAATGCGCGCGTCTCTAGATGATACAACCACATACCCGTGTCGACTTTGATCTCTCGCTGGAAAGCAACCCTTTCGACACGTTCCAGCTGGAAGCTGACCCGAACATGGCAGAGCCGATCAGGAAAGCAGAGAGATACGGTATACGGTATCTGTACTCTTATTATAAGTACTTTACGTTCGACGCGGTCGGACACCGTGGCGGCCCACCGTCACTAATTTCACCCGCGATACCCGTTAGATAGTGCGCTCGCTGATAACAATTACCATAAATATCGGGAGTCGCGGACACCTTCCCCGAGCTAATAACCACCTATCGCTCTCCTCGGCCCCCTTCGCGCTCTGTAATATCAACGACCGTCCGTAATATCAATATTCATACGGGCACGCGTAACCTTTGCGGAGAGACGAAAATATTAACATGACTGTGGCGCGCGGTGGAAAACTTCACGAATAGCTTTTTAATATCGTTACTGCGCGTAATCGATTTATGGACGCGCTATCGATAGCCGCTGCGTTTCAACGACGACGACGACGATAACTTCCTCTACGGCGACTCCACACCTCGGACTCCTCGCCCGATCGGAAGCGCGGCCTAATTCGCGGGAGGACGCGTTCTTATGCGGAACGCGGCGGCAAGCCCCGTCGTGTGAATTTTAACGAGAGCTAGCGCGCGCGACAGATACGAATGACGTAGACGAGAGCCAACTTTTATCCGAGTGACGGATAACAATGACGGATGAATCCGTATTCGTTCCAGTCGGGCACGCGGGAAGTCTTTGTCGGCGGAAAGTTTCATCGGAATAACTGTCGCTCTTGATCGGCAATAATCCTTCTTGGGAGAACCGCTCGCGAGATAACGCTACTTTTTGCTAGCAATAATCTGTCCTCGGCCTTTATTCTGGAAATGGTTGCGTATATATGAACGTGAAGCTATTTCGTGATTCGCGATTTTACCTGCGCAAGACACGTATACGGAATCATTTCAAGAATAAGGATGCAGAAATAAATTCCTATACGAGCGACGTTGGTGGCGAGTTTATCTTTCTTTCTCTCTCCTCTCTTTCTCTCGCTCTCTTTTTCTCTCTTTCTCTCTTTGTTTTTTGTGCGATATATCGTCCCGAGCGTGATAGCTTTGGACGAAAGGTTTTAAGCACAATTCGTTAGCACCGTCGCGTGAACATATGAACTTTTACGCTACCTCCCGGAGATAAGTATCTTACGTTACTGCGCAGCCCGTGTGAAAATATTTATTCGCTCGCGATATCCCGTTTGACTATGAAACCAGATCGGGGAATCGGTTATAACGGGGCAAATGTGTATTCCTCTTTTAAATATGGAGCTCGCCTTATCGGTTTACACGTAGAACGATATCGAAGAGTAAAGCCGTGACGTTTTCAAGTCACCATTTACGTCCATTCGTGTAGCTGCATAATATTTGCGATTACTTTCTACAAATTTCCAGAGATATTTACATCTCGACGGATTTAACCGAAATTTTATTAAGATTGCTACAAATTGTATAACTTCGACGGATGAAATTATATTTAAATCTTAAAGTATGAAGGTTCCGATGACAAATAAATCCGGTACAAAGAGTCAAGCACGAATATTTTAGTATCATTAAATATTAATAATGTAATATTATTGCAGGAGGGCGAAGATGTTCATAGTGTGTACGAAAAGCACCGAATTTTCTCGATTGAACGCGGCGACAGCCTTCTACGTGTAAGCCGACTCTCGAATTCGTTGTCAACTTTCAATCCTTAGAAAAAATCTTCTACCCAATTGCGAAACTAAATTAGTAGGCAAATTAATGACTCTATTTATTATATTGCGAAAAATACGGCCATGATATTGTATTCTCTCTACGATTAATCCAGACGATAATTATGACCTTCCATATATCTCTTTCATCCGTTAATATCCAAATGAGAAAATTTATAATCATCATCGCGCACGTGCACACCACTATAAACGATATTGTTCGCTCTCATTTGTCACACACACGCACACACACATCGCGCTCTTTACCTCCACGAGATTCCGACATTCGAATGTTCTTCCTCAGGCCGACGATCGATATCGACCGCTGTTCCAATAAGAATTATCGCCGCTCGAGTAACCATTATTACGTGAGTGCTCTCACGGACGGCCCTCGCGACGAATGCATCGAATGCAGCGCGCCCATCGAGCGTCGTTGAACAATCGTCAAGAGCCTCGTGGAAAAGAATCCTATAAAGAGGCCCGCATCGCCCGAGGGCCGATATCCCGTGGAAATGCGTTTTTTAGAGAGCCGTCCGCGAGCCTTTATTAGAATCGGTGAAAAGCTACGGTTTATGCGCGCTCTCTCTCTCTCTCTCTTTCTCTCTCTCCAGTGCAGTCGATACTTCCACCGAAGGTTATGAAGGTGGGAGCGTGAAACCACTCCGAGATCACGTCGGCCGTAAAACGCATCGCGCGAAATGGTTATCACGGTTTCACGTTAAGTCAGTTTATTCAGCATTGCTGATGAAACGTGCTCGCGTGTTACCGGAATTCTAGGATAACTATTATAATCCCGATGACAGATTCGCGCGACTCGAAGCGCTTCGTACTGTCTCTCTTCTTCTTATTTTTTTTATTTTTTATTATTTTTTTATATGTGTATCTAACGGTTCTTTTAAAAATTAGACCAAATAGTTTGAATTTTAATGTTTTATCTCTTTATTGATATCTCACGAGCACGAATATTTCCCTTACTTTAGACCTCGATTTTTCGTCATTTAAAATTCAACGTTTATTTTTATGCTCCGAACGATAGGATGAGGCCTCCTTTCATTCTACTTAAGCTTTCTTCCCGAGGGCGTTGAATTTTACTTGGATCTCTGAATTTTCATATTTTTTGAACATGGGAATTTCCTCTTTCGAAATTGTTATTTTGTTTAAATAATTTTTCGTTTACCGCTTATTTGAGGCTCAAAGTAGGAGCTTGAATTGCGTATAAACAAAATATAATCCTTTGAAATCTGTGGACGTGTTAAGGTCGAAAATAGGAGCAACGTTTTAATTCAGGATTAACTGTCAGTAATACCTCGCGTATATATAAAAAAAATATGAAAATTCTTCACAATCTATACATTTTTTGGGCTCGATCGGATGATGAAAATGTTTTTGTTTACCTTTATTTAAACGAACGCGATATACAGGAATTTTTTAATTTGACGTTTTATCGCGAAAATATTTTAAACTTACGACACACGATGATTTCGAAATCTCGCCGGATGGAAGAACCAGATCTTGTTTAAGAATATGTCATCAAGATTAACCTCGGCGGTTCTAGGATATTCCCTATCAGACAATATCGGCATGCTGCCAAATATTTGCGAGGAAAAATTCAATTTCTCTCCCGAGAACGTAAAGTTTTAGAGGAAAACGGTTTCGTCATTCGTCGATATTGCGATACGGCGTACAGAGAATATTAAAGTTTTGCTTCGCGCGACTACTAATATATATATATATATTTTTTCCGCAATTTTACGCGGTCATAAATATTGTCCCAACCGCCGAGTGAAATCTGCAAAACGGTAATATTTCAGCGCAAATCATGTTTTACAGAAATCGAAAAATGAAATCGCAGTTAGCAAGCGTAAAGATGTTCGCGGTATTCATTAAATTCGATTCGTTATATTCTCTTTGAGAATATAACGAATCGAATTTAAATTAAAAATTTCGCGTTTCGCTTGCATCGCAAAGTGGCGAACGCGGAGGAACGTGAATTTCCGCGAATATTAACAGAGACTTGCACTCGACTGATATTTGAACCAATTTATCACCGACTCGTCCAAAAATAGTATTTATTCGCAACGTGTTGACGTTATTTACTTTCCATGAAGTAGCACGAAGTTAAAAATGTATCCAGCACATTCGCGCGATCGGCTAAGGCGCGCACGATTTTTCATAGAAATTACGCTTTCGCTTGTGAGCCACAGAAGCGTGGAATAATTAATGGCCGCATTCCGGCGTCAGTTAAAAATTTATTATTCGAAACTCTCGCCACTCTGAGGTGTCCCGTTAAAATTACAATCGCGACAATATTTTCGAATATTGATATTAACATCGGTCTTCGTGCATACACGTTTTTCGTCAGTTTTGCAATTATAAAACGAATCTCTCGACGTGGCCTGCGTTTTCCCCCAAAAATTCCGGAGTAAATTCAGAATCACGATCCCTCTAACGATTTAAATCTACCCGTTCTTGATAATCGGATACGAGTCGGTCTCGTTATAATTCCACATTATAGCGATTACCATAATAAATCATTTTATTCGCTGCGCTCGTGACCGTCCGCGAGGTTCTCGACGATCGGAGGGAGATAAAGCCGTCGACCATTACGCCGCGGATCGAGATAACGCGAACACCTTGCCGCGAATGTGAGAGGAGAGCCGGGGAAGAAACTCGGGAGAAATCGTGGACCGATGTCGCGCTTAATCGCCGACGATTATCCGTCATCAGTGACGCGCGCGCGCGCGATAAAATCGTCGGGGATGTCGGCGACGCAACAGGAAGCTCACCGCACTTTTCCGTCGCGGGAAAATACACCTGAGCAAGACTTGGCCGGTCCTAACCCCGGCGAGGATCGTGCACTGTCGCGCGTACCACCTGGACGTCCTCGATGCCTCGCATCCTCGTCCTGGATCCTCGAGCGATCCTCGAGGGAAAAGGACGGATAACGCGTACCTGTTACGCCGTCGTGGCGCCTTCAGCGTCGCGACGTCCCTCCGTACTCCGCGGTGACGACGTCGGTCGGTCCTGCTGTCTTCGGAGTATATCCCGGCCGGACGTGACAACAGGTGAGGGAGGATGTCGTCGAGCACACTTGATACTCGGACTCACGAGTGCCGCGAAATGAGACGTCGTCGTCGGGCAGCGAGCGGGCGAAAGCGAGCAGCGCGGAATGCAAGGCCGACGGACGCGGAAGGCTCGCGTCGCGACGCCGCTCTGACGGCCGTCGGCGTCTCCTCGTCGACCCGGCCGTAGCAGGCCTCGCACCCTCTCTCCTGCTCCATCCTCACTACCCCCCCCGGCGCGTGGTGCCGCGCGCAAGCGTGGCCGCAGGTGCGGGGGAGCGCGCGCTCCCTCACGGACACCTCCACGCACCTTGCGAACTAGGTAGGTTGGTAGGTAGGTAGGTAGGTAGGTAGATGCCACGTAGGTGCCACGACCTCGGCTGTCGCAGGCAGCCCGCCGGGGTCGGATCGTCCGACCCCGCTGCGGTGTCTTTCACCTTCTCGCGGTGAAGTTCGCCGACGATCGTTTGATTTGGGTAATGAGACTGATGGGGAACCGAACGTTTCGAATGTGTGTGTGTGTGTGTGTGTGTGTGTGTGTGTGTGTGTGTGAGAGAGAGATGCGTAATATTCGGTATAAATTTTATACGTGTTTATACGTGTGTATATTCAGCGAATGAGATATATATTCAATGGAAATATATTTGACAAATTGATTTAGTCATAAACACGTTTCACGAGTTAATAATTTAACCGGTCGGTTGCATTAATTAAATTAAATTTTTAAAGCTCTCTCATAACGGCCCTTTTAAATAACTTCCGTGTGCGGTGTGACGTGTATTTTTTTAATTATGCACGCGGAAAACGCGCATCGAGGAAGCGGACTGACGTGTGTCGTGTCGTGAGGAGTTATTAAGCATGTGAAATACATGTGCGTCGCGTATTATAAATTGATGCAACAGGCTCGCCGTCCGATAAACCGGGGAACGGAATTTATCCGCGGTTTCGAGGTATTACCTAATAATCTTGTACGAGCGAAGTAAATAACACTCGACTCGGCAGTTTTTCAGACACTTACCGAAATCCTTCCATTTGCTTTTTAATATTCAAATCGGCAACTTACCACGAGCAAAAATCTGTTCGGATTAAGTAACGAGAAATCTTTAGAGCAATTTAAAAAATACGCGACAGCCTCGGGTCGTCGATGACACGTTGGATTATACCATTTGACTGCGGTGTCGCTTTGCACTTTCACTTCCCAGTTTCCGCGATGCAATTTTGCTAACGGTTAATTAATAATTTAATAAGGTGGCGGATGAACGCCAATCGACGCGACAGTGATCAATATTGTATAACAAATCGCCTGACAATTTAATTTAATGCCACAGAATAGATATTGCACGAATATGAGCGCGTCGTCGCGAGATTTTCATCCCTTTGCGTCGGGAATACTGTGAAATTCGCGCACGGAGGGGGAGGGAGAAGAGAGGGAAATCTATATAATTGATAACTTGTAATATCAGGCCGACGTGTGACAGATTTTTCATCTTTTCCATTAAATTCTGACGCCTGGAAAATTGCCGATTTGCTATTAACACGTCACTACCCTGTATTTTTTTCTATGCAACAGCGCAAAATAGATGTAATCTGTTTGCACGGACGCAGAATGGAAAATTATCGCTGTTTCGCGTTTGTGACGTCGGTCTCTTGTGAGAATTACGTCACACATACGTGACTTGCGGTGAAAGAACGTTCACTGAAAAAAAGTTTTTTTCGTAACGAGTACTAAAATCTGATGAATATTCGCCGGCCAGATATTTAATCACTCTAACCAAATAATTTAGTTCCGCATATATTACATATTTAGCGCGCGAAACCGAATTATTTGGTTGAAGTAATGAAATATTTAGTCGGCAAATTCAATTAATTCAATGGGGAAATGTTCGAATTTTCGTTTTTATTACCAGATTCTTTTCTCAGTGTGTAAACAACAAAGTGGGACGATTTCGTTGGATTTCGCGTAAAACAAGTGGTACGTAATTTTCAACGTCATGTGTAAACCTATTGTCGTCTCATTTCCGCGACATATAATTAGTGGTGTTCCTTTTTATCACGGTGTCGCGAGCGGTCATGTGCAATATTAATTAATATTGCGATACGACCGCCCTCGGGTTGAGCGGCCTCTCCGGAGACCAAAAATAACCCAGAGGTGGGTAGATAGGGTGACCCCCGCGACGTCTCGTGGTTTCCCGCCGCGCTCAGCCCTTCGCTCAAGTATAAATAGATCGGCGCATTCAACGGCGCTTTCACGCGGAGGAGTAAGCCGGACATTGAGATTAACGCACACTCGAATGGCACTTTCTCTCATTGCCGCGTGGGCGCCTGCACCACCCCCTCCCCCGGTCCCCCTACGCACTGCTATTGGCAGGTGTCGCTCGTGGAGGTGAGCGCGTGAAAGGCCGCGATTTCCCCGGCCTTTCCAATTTTATCACTGTCTCACCGAGTCCCGCTCTTACCGCGAAAATCGTTACGTTCGCCGTAACGAGGCTGTCTCGTTAAAAGTCGCATTTCGCGCACGTGTATGCGCAGCCGCCCGTCCCTCCATTGATCTCTTATCAGTCTGATCATTCCATTGATCTAGCGAGGTCGTAAAAGAGATTATCCGATACTTCCATTCGGAGTCACAACACGTGATTCGAATAATCCAGCGCCGTTACTCTCACAGGACGAGTCCTGCTCTGGGCATCGATTCGCCAAAGTCTCCTCGATTGCCGTTCACGAGAAGAAATGACGCGTTTCACTCTCGAACGGTTCGACTCATCCAAATATCGTTGCGCGTATTTGTTGTAATTTATTTGTTATAAATAGAGAAGAAGCACGAAAAACGACATACTGTCTTAGTTTTCGACCTTAATGTTTTTATTCTCCACCTCCCTCAACTTCAACTACCTCACAGTAGACGAAGTTCACGTTCTGTCCGACACTTTACACGACCAAGTTGTGCAAATTAGATGAAGTAAGGGGCAGTCTTTCTTAATTTTCCGTACTATTTAGCCGAGAAACACAAGTATATCACTTTACCGTACCCATGTCAGTTTGAGTGCTTCTCTCCTCTACGCTGTTATTCCTGCATTTGTGTAATCGTGCGAAACGCGAGACGGCCGTTCGCGAAATATGTTTTCACCTATTTAAAGAGCGGCGATTATCAACGCGGTGACAATCGCTCGGTCATCAGCCGAGAAGGAGGAGGTGATGCATTTTCAGTGGAGTGCTGCAATTCTCAGCGATTACTCGGCCGCGCGCCACGTAGCACTAATGAAATTCCAGTGTACGAAATCGTGTTAGGCAGTCGAGGTAGATAAAGACGGCCTTTTGGCGTACGGTTCGCTTGGATTTGTACGGTTAAAGTGGATTTCCCGGACACGTCGTTTGTACGAGCATCCTTTTGGGGTCGGAGGGATTCGCCGCGAACCGTTGAAGTAAAGGACCGGCGGGAGGGGGATCGGGGGATTTGCCGCGATCGTCGTAACTTTCGCCCATGATTGATACAGTTGGTATCATCCGATTATCTCGTTCGGCTGTTCGAGATAAAGTTCGTCCGGACGATCAAAATCGACTCCGCTCGCGACGAACGAAAGGTCACGACCGACCACGACCGAGTTGCGGAAACGCCGCGATTTTTCGACGGCGCTCCCGGCCTCTTTGCGCCGAAGAAACGTGGACTACGATAAGTGCGAGATGTTCGTGTTCCTTCAGGATTTCAATCGGGATGGAGCTTCTCCAAGGAACATTTCTGGCACGATCCCGCGGCCGGGAAGTACCGCGCGTGCGCGCGTATTCTCGTGTCTATCAACGGTAGTGTTGATGTTTTATTCGCAAACCAAAATTTTCGGCTGGGAGGAACATTCGTCCCTCCTCGCTGGCTATGGCTGGCTGATATTTTGAAAAATTTCCAAAACAAAGGTAACATAACCCGTGAATGTAAGAGCGAGATGCAGATTGAGGGGAATGTAATGAAAAATCCACAGTATAAATTTGTGTAAACATCGGATATACAGGGTGTTTCATAACACGTGTCATTTCGGGAATGAATTCAGGACGTAAAGATAACGCAAGAAGTTTACATAAACATTTGTCCTACCCGATCTTGTTTTCGAGGTTACAGACGTTTTCACGTAATTTTCGCCGACAAAGCCGAACTAGCGTAACCAGAGATGTTGTGATACCACTGATATAATACTAATATGAAACACCCTGTATACATCTCGAGAACGTCACACGATAAATATAACGACAGGAACCCCTTTCTGTCTCCTCTTCTCCTCCTTCTCGGGAGATATTTCTTCGGAGTGAGGACGCAGCGAAAGATGCGGAAGATACGATCATTTATTTGATCGATAAGAGATCTCGCAGGAGAGCGATATAAATTTCTCCGTGCACCGTGGCCCACCGTTACCGTCTGTTTCTCGCACGTTACGACGGATGTTCATTCCGCTCGAGAAATGCCTAGTTTGTGGCAGTCGCTTTTCAAACGTCAACGAGACGAGAGAGAGAGAGAGAGGGAGAAGGTAAAAAAGAGTGACAGAGCGAGAAAAAGAGGGGCGAGATAAAGATACAACGCACGCCGGTCCGCAGCTGCAATCCTTCCCACAGTGTCAGCAAATCCGACGATAAAGATAACATCGTGCATAGAAAGCATTAGGCTTGATCCCCTTAGAGTCGTCCACGTCACGCTATGCCGTTTTCGGCCGCGGTTTATCCTTAAACAAGCCCCTTCTCAAGCACCGCCTACACCTTGTAAATCATAGCCGAACTTTTCTCGAACGGCATTTATTTCGCGAAGTTGCACATTATTCGTCCGCTTCTTCCGGCACGGATTTCGCGTCACGTAATAAAGCTAGGTCACTGGATAAATATTCTTGCCACGTGACTTTATTAATTCTCCCGCGGTACAAGCGCACGCTTCGACCGACGTGCGTTTCGTAATTCTTCTTAAGGATTATCTATGTTTTTGTTTATTTCCTGAAA